CAGCAAATTTAGCACCGTCAATTTTTTAAAAAGTAGAGCTTTCTGCAATCATACTTAAACTCTAAATCATTACTATATATATATATATATATATATATATATATGATGGGCACTCTTGTCAAGGATGACAAATAAAGTGGTACTCGACTCTGTGGACACACAAGTATCTCCTGAGCCTTGCAGGTGTTTTGCAAACTTTAAACAGATGGAACACAGGGCTGACCCATTTTGCTTGAGTGGGCAGCAAGGCCTGCTTTACTGTGTTCTACAAAAGCCACAGTGGCAGGTAAGGCTATCATTGAGAGGAGCAGCATGCTGCAGTCTTGCTTTAATATTTGCACACAGTTGATCCTGATGTTCCAGTTGGCCTCACTCAAACCTTTGTATAGATGAGAAGGACAGGAGCCAGCTCCTTTGCTCAGGAAGAAAAGGGGATGCAGCATTGCTTCCGATTGTCTTTGTATTTATCTTTGAAATGTAAGAGTAGCCTTTCAACAGTCCTATTTGTTAGAAGCTGGCCAAAGAGGAATTGATTTGGAAGTCTGATATCGCAACATATGAGAAAGATTACCTGCCCACCTGAGTTGGATTTTCATTAAGATAGCTTCAATACCTGTCATGTTGCATTTAGTCAAAACTTCATGGTTTCTAATGTGTTCACTCAGTTTTCTGCTGCAGATGGTACCTAGGCAACACATGTGGAAAGCATCAAGTTGATTGATGTGTTGTCAGTACAGAGTCCAAGATTGTGCACTATAGAGTAGGGATGTCAGTACTACTGACTTGTACACATCAATTTTCATCTCATGAAAATTCCAAAGTCTGTGGTAAAGATTTCTAAAGGTTGAATTAGCCTTTTGAATCTTTCACTTAATTTCTTTATCTATTTTAGCATTGCTGGATACAATGGAGCCAAAATAGGTGAAGGGGGAAATGGTTCCCAAGACTTTTCCCTCAGTGGGAGAAACAGCAGGGGATGGTTACAGAAAAGTTGATAGACAAATTCCATTTTTATATGCTGGTGGTCAGACTAAAAGCTTTAGATGCCTGAGAGAATTTATTAATGATCTATTGCATATCCTCAGTGGTGTAGATTACAAGTGCAATCATCTCAAGGACAGTTTGCACAATTCTTGCTTTGAAACATTGTTGGTTAAACAACCCACCACTTGTCCTAAACTTAAATCTCACACCATTTTTAACATTCTCAAATGCTGTTTCCAGCATGACAAAAATACAAAGCAAATAAGAAAGGTGCAAGTACACAACCTTGTTTTGTTCTTTTAGAGACAATGAATAGGTTGGACACCTCTCCACTTCTTGAGGCCATTATCCTCTGATGGAAAGACATGATGACACTGAGCATCCTTTCAGGAACACCCAGCTTCCTAATGACAATTCAAATAGCATCCTTTGAAATGCTATCAAAGACCTTAGTGAGATCAATGAAAGTAACAAATAAATCCTTGTCATTGCCTCAAACTGAAAATCATGACTACAAGACCGAAAGCTGCACTGAGTTTCAGACAAGATTAAATCCTGCCAAGAACTTTCCCAGCAGCACACAGAAAGGAGATACCTCTATAGTTGTCACATTTGCATTTATTGCCATTGTGTTTATAAAAATGGACAATAGAAGCATCTTTAAACGTCTGAGGAACTGATCCTACATCTCAGTTTAAAGAAGATTTCACAATTTCAGATTTCTGCCACATTTGTGTATCTCATTGTTACCATTTGTCAGTTGTTTATGGCCCTCAGCAATAGATGGAATAAATCTCTAAGGTAAGTTGTTGATAAGATTCTCATCAGCATTAGAATCTATGTTTAGAACATTGGAGAAATATTCTGCCCAGTGTTTATTGATCTCTTTTTTGCCTATCGTCCATAGGTTGCCATCAGAAGAAAAGACACCTTTTAGATTCTGATAGAATGATTTAAAGTCACATCTTTTGCATCTTGCAATTCCTGTGCTTTCTTTCACCACCATGGTTGTTTCATTTTCTGTAGTTGAAATTGGCACAGGTTTCTGACTTTCTTGAATTCATTGTGCTTTGTGACATTGTTCTTGCCTGACACCCACTGAGGATGGCATTTGCCATATACATTGTTGTATATCAAGAACAATTTTGGAGGAAAGATGTATGACAAAGTGGAAAAAGTTTTTGGGTGACATGTTTTGTTCCTTAGGACATCATTGGACTAGGTTTGTTTACAATGATATGGCTATAGATGTGCAAGTGTGTAAGATGCTGGAAATTTTAAATATAAAAAAATTGTTTCCGTTTTATATATATATATATATATATATATATATATATAAATTCATGGTAAGTAATCCAAGTGAATCCTAGAAATAAAAGATATTACTGATTCACAGAAAAGAGCTCAATGTATTTATTACAGAGCAAATATAAATTACAGATAGATGAAAATCACTACCCTATAAAAATATATAGATATATATTGAGTAGTTTGAGCTTGTCTGTAACATTTGTGGGAAGGTTGTTCTGGGTTTGCTAGTCATTGAAGGTTACATGAAAATCTGCAGTCTAATGCCAGCTATGTGAATGTCCTTCCTGACAGATCAGCTGGGTATGTATGTCAGTTTCTGATAAAATTTCTGATACTTGGCTTAAGAGTTGTATGAGAGTGCAGGAGTAGAAAGTCATTTTCAAGACTCTCCAAAAGTCTTTCATATGTCACACATCTTGAATATTGAAGAAGTGGCCTTCTTATGTAAAGAAGTGACAGTTATATATATATATATATATATATATATATACACACACACACACACTTCTGTAAATTTTTTAAATTGGAAGCATAACATTTTTTAATTTTCATAATAAAATTTGAAATTTATGTCATACATGATACATTTATGCAGTTGGTAATTATATATTATATTGGTAATTATATATTATATATATATATATATAATTGATTTCATATTTTCTTTTCTGTTTTTTGTTATTGGAGTGCATTAGAAATTTAGCTTTATCTAACTTCATTCAAAAAGGATATAATTGCATATCAACAAGCATTGAAGAAAATAAGCAACATTTTCAACATATGCTTTATTTATTTTAAGGAAGTAGAAATATGTTATAGAATGCAGAAAAAATAATAAAGATATTTGCAGTACATATAGAAATAGTTTGCAAAAGCTTTTGCCAAAGATCTCTCTCTCTTAATATTGTTACATAGTTGGATAGGCCAGATGAGGTTGATATTGATCAAATAAAAACATTACTTGTGATTCATTAATTTTGTACATTGTGGAAGATAAAACATTTGTTATTGTTATCACAATTTTTCAGTCATTGTAAACTCTAGCCTTCATCAGGTGATTGTCAAGTTGATTAACCTTCAGGAAAATTCAAACTGAACTGTTTCGTTAAGTTCGAATTTCCCTGAAGGTTAACCAATTTAATCTACATTTAATTGTTCTTGTCTGCTGTCCATATCCAGGAATATCTTGTCTAGTTCTGATTTAGTACTACCCAGTTATTGCTTGCCCTGTTTCCATTGAGAACAAGTACACACTACCTGGGACAGGGATTGAACTTACTGTGTTATCAAATTCATGAATCAATCCACTAGGTTATTTTTCTGAGTGGAGAATAAAAAAAAAGTGTGTACTTGGTGGAAACAGGGCAAGTAATAACTGAGCAGTACTAAATAAGAACTAACCCTCTAGATTAAATAATGAGTTTAATTTGAAATTCCCTGAAGGTTGCCAAAATCAATAATCACTCAATGAAGACTGGAGAGCACAATGGCTGAAACTTTCTGATAACAATAAAGATGATCTGCATGTAAATAATGATAACTCTTCATCTCAGAAATTCATTTACTTCATTATGTTAGTTGTTTTGATGTGCAGCTTCCATATAAGTAAAAAAATGGTTCATACTTCCATGTGAATTTCATTACCTAAATGTAACAACATGTTTTGTTTTTGAAACAAGGTGCAGGAGAATGTTTTACAATAATACAGAATGTAAGAGATTGTGAGGCAAATAAAATAAATCATTACTAGTCATACAAAAGACTGGTCTTCAATCAAAGAAGCTGATACTCTGTTTCTGATTGGAAGAGATCCTTCTGAAGTATCAAATTATTGATTTGAACAAGTACTGCATCCCATTATACTGAGTGAAGTCAAAAGCATAGGAAAAGTGACTTTATTTATTTAAGATAAAGTGTGTAATATTCAATGAGTTTATTATTGATAACCCCACTACTTTTTGTAAGAATGTGAACAGTAATAATTCATAAAAATAAGTCATGCATGTTTTATAATTTTCTTTATGTAGTGATTAGCAGGGTAATTTTAGTTAAATTATTCTTCAATCCTAACAGTAGGTAAATTTTACTTACTGCTACAACTATGGATAAAATTCAATATTCAAATTTATGATTGCTCACTAAAACCAAATGACATTGTTATCATAAAATGAAAAGACTCAATATATAGAAGAAAAAATGTTTAAGAACCACTCTATACTCTATACTCATACTGTAAAAATAAATAAAATAACCCTTTTATTGGATGTTGTTAGAGAAATATTCACAAAAGAAATTAAGTAGTGTATTATACTGAATGGTTTCTAATGCCAAAGGGGAAATATGATTTGATTCATATAAGTATTCACATGCAATATTTACTTACTCATGCTAAATTGGATATATATCTTGAATTTTTTAATGCATTGAAAGTATCCTTTACTTTGATAAAATCAGCATCATAAAACTGTGGATTTTATGAAAATATACTTTGGCAATTTTACTTTTAGTAATGATTTAAGTATTTTAAAGTTCTGTGGCACAAAATTGTTTTTTTAACTTAGGATTGGAAGGTAGAGATTTTAACAATAAAATATAATCTTAATGACCATGATGCAGATATCTCAGATTACTAACATACTTCTTAAAGTACATTTTTGGCTTCAAAACAGATTTAAAGTTTTAAAAATATTTTTTTGTTTATATAGAGAATGCAGAGCAAAAACGAACTAAAGTTGGTAAGTAGACTTTTTTTTTTTGCTTGATAATTGTAATGTATATTCCAAAGCCCCAAGGAGCAGCTTCTCTGTAAAAACATTCTTCTGCCTTTCTCTTTTTTTTCAATCAATTCTCTTTAAACTTTATAATAATGTGAAAATGTTTTGCAAATATCTATTAAAAATATTTGTAGGTTCTTTTTTAACATAGAAAGCAAATCATATTTTTTGTATGTGTATTTTTAAAAAATGTTTATGCTAATCCAATTCAAATAACTCTTTCTATCTCTCTTTATATATATATATATATATATATATATATATATATACACAATAACCACCGTTGATAGCACAACTCAGCGTTTCATGCAAACATCCAATCTTCAAGCGCAAAATACTTACTTTAATATAAACAATTTTAAATCATCACACAATTTTAAATCATCACCATGAGAACGTGAATTTCATAACACTCTAACAGTCAGTGAGTATTTCGCACCTGATGATTGCATGTTTGCATGAAACTGAGTTGTGCTGTCAATGTTGGATAACATGTATATTCAATAATAAATACTTAGTAGCTCTGTTATATTGCATTGAACACTGTTTTTATAACACCTGAGAAAGAAATATATATGTATGTGCAAGTATATGTGTGTATGTTTTTTATCATACCCATATCTATCTATCTATCTATCTATATATATATATATATATATATATATATATATATATATAACAAAAGTTTGTAGCATTTTTTAGTGAATTTCAAAGGCAATGTTTAGATAATTGTACATTTTTTCCACTACATTTTGCTATCTTTGAGACACCTCTCTGAATCCATCCTCCCAAAACCTGGAATCTTCCTGCATCATGAACTGGTCAAAGTGTTTTTTACAGTCTTCCCATTAAGAAAATTTTGCAGGGATCAAAATGTGATAATCCAAAGGTGCAATGTCAGGTGTGTATGACAGGTATAATAGGACATCCCAGCCAAGCTGTACCAATTTCTGAAAAGAGATGTGAGTTCTAGTGTTGTCCTGATTGAAGATGAAACCTTTCTGATTGGCCAATTCCAGGCATTTTTCAATTGATTGCTGCCTTTAAATCAGTCCATTTGGGAATAGTACTTGTCTGAATTCAATGTTAAAAATTTCCACTTCTTAAATGAGAAAACCATTTAGGAATAGTTCCTATTTAGCAGAAGTTTATTGTAAACTTTTGCTGCAATTTGCATGAGAGTTTTACTCCTATAGTTTGCTGCTCTAGTTAGATCATCCTTTTTTGGAACAGAGACTATTCTACCCTTCAGCCAAGCTAAATGCAGTGAATGGTGTATGAATGTGTGGATGCAAATCTCTAGGAGGAGGTCATGAAATATTGGCTCTTTCCACAATAATGTTGGTATGTTGTCAAGACCTGAGATTTGTTGTGTCAAAATCTTTGAGTGTTGTTTTGAGTTCGTTGAGTGTGAATGGGTTCAGTGTATTGGATATTTGATATATTGGGAGTGGAAGATCACTGGTTCTCCCAGGAGTTTCTTAAAGTGATCAAACCAGTTAGATTTATGCTTTTCAGCAGAACCAGCTTTGAGCCGAATGGAAGACTTTCATTTTCTTCCTGAGAGTATGTTTATTGTTTTTCAGGCTGCAGCATGCTGTTCCTCTGTACAATCTGACTTACAATCTTGTCAATCTCCTCTTAGATGTACTTTGCATCTACATTGCCATGGGCCTACTCTAGTATCCCTTGTGCTTTTGTGATGTCTTTAAAAGTACTTGTAATTAACTTTTGTTCATAACTCAGTTTCACTCTTTGCAGAACTTTTCTTGCTTTTCTCATATGGACATCTGAACTGATGTGGTTGTGCTGTAACTTTTCCCTCTTTGGCTGTTTTGAGAGTTTGATTCTCCTGTAGATGTTATAAGGTTGTTGTATCATGTTTTAGTGTCATCAAATTGATCAGAGAGCATTTCATAACAATTCTTAACATCTACAGCAAGGGATTATCAAAGTTCTGTCTGATGATACCTTGGCCCAATCAACTTGTTTCATAGGGCCTGGTACTGGTGGTTTGGATGACCTTAGTCTTAGAACAATATGTATGGAAACAACTCTATGATCAGAACTTACAAACACTGTCCTCCCACTTGTTTCTCACGAGGATGTAATCAATTTCTGATCGAGGTCTGGGTGGATGTTGGAATGTCCACAGATGTTTTGGATGCTTCATGAACCTTGTGCTTGTAATTTGGAATTGGAACTCTTGAGCGAAGTATGTCAGTTTTTTCGTGTTTCAGTTCGTCTCCTTATTATATATATGAATGGAGCATCATCCTTCCCAATGTGACCATTGAAATCACCTGAGAGATAACGAGAAGTCATGAGGGATGAACACTTTCTGTTACTCTTTTAGATCGGAGTAAAAGTCATCTATTAGTTTTTCATCACTTTTATTAGTTTGGCAGAAACAAGCAATGAATGTGGCTTGAGTGTTACTGTTAAATTCAGCAACAATTATGCAATCAGATATTTTTTTTCAACAGATAGTAAATTTCCTGAGGCTTTAAGAGAGAAGTATACCAACTCTCTGCCGACTGTGGAACCTAGGGAGTTTTTGGTATTGAGATGGTGATAAATTGGTATTAATCAAGGTTGTTATAATTCAGGTCTGTGTCAGGATAATAGTACCTGTGCTCCTGGATGCTCATGATGTCAATTTTATTTTGCTTTGTGCAAAATAGAACCTCTTGTTTTCTGCTGGTCTTTGACAAAGTTCATGAATTGAAAGTGCTGTAAATAATTGGACGTTTGCATTTCATGAACTTTGATGTAGAGTTTTAGTTTGTTGTTCGCAATTACGTCACTACTAAAAGTTGAGAGGTGTCTGGTCATCTGTTTCATGAGAAACAAGGTTTTGTATTAGGAACAGAGTAAGCAGGGGCTGGAACCCTGGTGCAGTTAGTGGACGTCATGATAGTTCATTCGGTAGCTGATACAAAATGTGGGATGCCATCCCTGCATCTGGGTGTTTTTGTCAAGACACCATCTCTAGAATGACTGCCACCTAAGGCTAAAGACTCCTTTCAATCCATGAAGTAAATTATGCCATGCTAGACACCAACTTGGAATTTGAATTTCTGTGGACTATTTTAGAGACTCCAGCTGCAGATTTGTTTTCAGGGTTTACTCCTGAAGCCTTTCCCATTGATCCTCCACAAGAACCAGAATGGATTTAGAAGATATATATATATATATATAACAATAAAGAAACTGGCAATAATGAGCTATTAGTCAAAGAAAGCTAAACAAAATAAACATTGCAACTCTAAAAAGCTTTCCTCCAGTTTCGGAAATTACAACCAAATAGTAAAAACAGAGAAATGTTACAATGTTTAAATTTAAATAGATTAGAATATAGAATTATTCATGCCACTATATAATAAATAAAACAAATACAATGCATTCTTTTAACAACATTTGGTGTGATTTTAATTCTTTTACATTTTCTTATTTATAATTGTAATATATTTCAAATTTGTTGGTAAAGTGCTTTCAATTATAACATTATTTTGCTTTGTTTTCAATTTGCTTTAATTATTTCTCCTCCAGTTACTTAAAAAAACAACAATAATTATAATAATAATAAAATATCCTTATATATTTGCTAATAATTTTATATTTTTTATTTTATTATTATTATTAATTAAAAAATATATATAGCAATATATTGGCATATTTAATGACAAACTGTTTACCCCACATCCCATGTATAATTTTTTTTTTTTTGTTTTGTATAGGGGCATTGGGTAGAAGTAGTACCTTTGTTGCTTGTCTGCAGCACCTTATTTTTAAGGTTAATGAGCAACACTGTTCTTCACCCATCCTCTAAATCTCTCTGTCAGCTATGGACTTAGAGAGGAAAGGGGTGATGCCAAGTTATCTACAAGTTCACAGAAAAGATTATATATATATATATATATATATATATATATATATATATATATATAGCCACCAGCCCTTGTACCAGAGACGGCAAACTCTGACATCAAAACTCCTTAGGTATATTGTGTGGTCCACCATGCACTATCCAATGTATTTAAGGTCCCGGGGAGGTCAAACTTTGTGATAATATAACATGCAATCATCACAAGCACCTAATGCATGGCATACAGTACACCTGTATGGGCTATGTTGTTTGATGGAGAGAGTGTGCTTTGTACTGCACAAGCAACTGACTACTTTAAACAAATCTTAGTGCAGGTTGATCAGTAGCTGGATGGGTAATAGTTCAACACAAATACATGCAGGACAGAAATCCCATGGTGAGGAAGAGATAGCAATGGGGACAGGTGGATGATACCACTGGCAGTCTTTAGCTTGAATTTCCCACATGGTTCGTGAGAGGTAGATGGTTGTTGTGCAGCACAAAATCGGACATTGTTGCACTTCTTGCTCTCCTCTCATAACAAAGCAGCCCTATTTAGGGATGGCACTGCTTTCCTCTTATGAGGAAGGGTCAATAAAAGGCAACCTAAAAATTGCATGTCCAAGCATGACCCTGTCATAAGGTGCATATGGCTGGGCATCCAAATTGCACACTTGAAATTTCAGAAAATCAAAACTTAATAAAATAATGAAACAAATATGCATCTTGGAATGCACTTAATGAAACAAACATAGTATCTTGGAATGAAAGGACTCTTCAGAACAATAAGAAAAACCCTGAATGCAGAACAGCAATTATTACATGAGTACTTAAACAGAATAACATCAGTATTGCTGCCCTATCAGAAACCAGACTTCCAGACAGAGGGCAACTCAATGAAGTGGAAGATGACTATACCTTCTGGGTAGGACAACCTGAATCTGCGAAAAGAGAATCTGGTGTAGGATTTGCTTTAAGAAACGATCTTGAGTCATAACTGGAATCACTTCCTGTTGGTATTTCTGACAGGCTAATGTCTCTTCGCTTACCTATCAGTAAGAATAAACATGTCACTTTACTTAGTTATTATGTG